TTTGGCATCATTCATATGCCTGAGGTTTTTAAAAGGCTTATATCCCCCTATTACTGACAGTGATAAAAGAAATAAAAGGCTTAATTGCTTCCTCCTGAGGTGAGAGGTGGGTTTCCAAGACCAGACACTGCTAGTGCCCTATCACCTCCCGCTTTATGCCAAGGAATTCACAGGGGCCACCGCCTCCTGTGAGGCCTTCCAGGGGCTGTTGCAGGTGTTGCCTGTGCTGCCTCCTCCAGTGGGGATATGCTGGGTCCAAGAAGTGGCATACACTCGTACATTTCCCCTGCCCAACTGGTGTCCTTATTTATATTTCTTCCTTATTTATATTTCTTTTGAAAAGATGAACACGGTCCTGTGGCAAAATGATGTTCACAGAATGCAGACACCTATAGTGTATAGAGGAAAATGCAGATAACCCCTCAGAAAAGGAAGGTGTTAAACTGGGGTGTGTATCTTCCCAGCACCATGTTCCCCAAGGAGAGTGCTATGCAAAAAAAGAGCCTTCAACATCTCTAATCGTCAGGGAAATGCAAATCAAAACCACAATGAGATATCACTAAATGCCAGTGAGAATGGCCTGTGTCAAAAATTCTCCAAACAAATGCTGGCGTGGATGCCGAGAGAGAGGAACACTCCTACACTGCTGGTGTGACTGCAAAATAGTTCAACCTCTGTGGAAAGCAATATGGAGATACCTTAAAGAGATACAAGTGGATCTACCATTTGGTCCAGCAATCCCATTACTGGGCATCTAACCAAAAGATCCAATGACAGTGTACAAAAAAGACACCTGCACTTGAATGTTTATAGCAGCACAATTCATAATTGCAAGGCTGTGGTAACAGCCCAAGTGCTCATCAACCCAAGAATGGATTAATAAAATGTAGTATATGTGTACCATTGAGTACTATTCAGCTCTAAGAAACAACGGTGATATAGCACATTTTATATTTTCCTGTTTAGTGCTGGAACCCATATTACTAAGTGAAGTATCCCAAGAATGGAGAAATAAGCACCACATATACTCACCAGCAAACTGGTATTAACTGAACAGCACCTAGGTGGACACATAGAAACTACGGTAATAGAGTATTGGGCAGGTGGGAGTGGTAAGAGGGGCGGGTATATACACACATAATGAGTGAGATGTGCACCATCTGGGGGATGGTCATGCTGGAAACTCAGACTTGTGGGGGAGGGGGGAAAGGGCATTTATTGAAACCCTAAAATTTGTACCCCCATAATATGCTGAGATAAAAAAAAAAGAAACAATGGTGATATAGCACCTTTTGAATATTCCTGGATACAGCTGGAACCCATTTTACTAAGTGAGGTATCTCAAGAATGGAAAAACCAGCACCACATGTATTCATCAGCAAATTGGTATTAACGGATCAACAGCTAAGTGGACATATAGGAGTAAAATTTATCAGTTCTCAGGAGGGTGAGAAAAGGGAGGAGGGGATGGGTATATACAACCACAACGTGTAAGATGTACAATGTTTGGGGGATGGGCATGCTCGAAGCTCTTACTCGAGGGGGGAGGGTGGCATGGGCAATATAAGTAACCTTAACATTTGTACCCCCATAATACGCTAAAATAAAAAAATAAATAAAAATAAAAATAATCGTTTAGTAAGCTCCCAAGTCCTATGGGAAACTTGCAGGCTATTCGATTGATAAACAATTGACTGTGGGGATATTTTTGTGGACACTTTGTGTTTCTATGACGATGTAGTCCTTGACTGATTTTAAGGCAAAAAGTCACAAATATAGAAGCGTTTCTACTGAAAACTGAAATCATCCCTGCCCAGGTCCATTTCCCAGTGTAATCACCCTTAAAACAACCACTTGCAGCCGGGCGAGGTGGCTCACGTCTGTAATCCTAGCACTCTGGGAGGCGGAGGTGGATCACTCAAGGTCAGGATTTTGAAACCTGCCTGAGCTAGAGGTGACTGGTCTCTACTAAAAATAGAAAGAAATTAATTGGCCAACTAATATGTAGAGAAAAAATTAGCCAGGCATGGTGGTGCATGCCTGTAGTCCCAGGCACTTGGGAGCTGAGGAAGAAGGATCACTTGAGCCCAGGAGTTTGAGGTTGCTGTGAGCTAGGCTGACGCCACAGCACTCAGTCTAGCCTGGGCAACAAAACCAGACTCTGTGTCAATAAAATAAAATAAAATGGAACAAACAAATGGAAAATAAAATGGAAAAACAAATGTGGTGAGCATGTGAATAAATTGAAAGAAACCTTCATACAGTGCTGGTGGGAAAGCAAAAAGATCCAGCCAATGTGGAAAGCAGCTTGGCATTTCCATAAAAGTTAAATATACAGTTACCACATGATCCAGCAATTCCATTTCCAGGTGTACACCCAAGGGAACAAGAGAATTGAAAAGAGATATTTATACAAAACCTTGTACGTCAATGTTTGTGGCAACATTCTTCATGTAACCCAAAAGGAGAAACAACCCAAATACCCAACTGATAAATGTCTAAACAAAACATGGTATTTCTATATTATGGATTATTAAGCTATAACATGGAATGAAGTACAAATACATGATACAACATGTATTAAGTCTTGAAAATATAATAATAAAGACTCCAGACACAAAAGAAAGCATATCACATGATCCCATTTGCATGAAATGTCCAGAATAGGCAAATCTATACAGAAAGTGGACTAGTAGTTGCCAGAGACTGGAGCAAGGGGAAGAGGAATGACTCTTAATGGATATAGACTTTCCTTTTGTAGTGACAAAAAGTTTGTAAAATTGGTTGTGGTAATGGATGCTCAATTTTGTGAATATGTTAAAAAACAACAACTTGTACACTTTAAAATTGTGAATTATATGGTATGTGAATTGCATATAAATAATGTAAAAGGGAACTGGCACATAGATTAAATAAAATTTGCTAAAAATTGATGGGAAGTTTTGTAATGTGGGTGCATCAAGGTGAGAATACTGCAACTCACTGATCTGTCTTTACATCAAAAATGTATGAAATATATGTAAGTGTAAATATCATGCAATTGGAGCACAAAGCATCAACTGTGAATATTCTTGCTAAAAATTGCACTTGAATTTTCCAAATCCATAGATTTAACTACAAGATATTTTATAAAGGAACATGTTTTGTATGAGGATGCATACAATGAAATGCAGTATGTGAATAATTCTAGAGCACAAATAATAAAGTAGTCTCTCATCAAAGGAATGGCAAAGAAAAAAAAAAGGGGGGAGAAGTTATAGATTGAAAGAGGAATAGGAAATTTTTGAATCAGTGCTATATATTTCTTTTGTATCCTAATAAGAACAACTCAAAATTAGGAGACATATTTAGGTCAAACAGAGAAATTGGACATGGATATTTTTATGTGCCATTAGAGAATAATTTAAATTTTTCTCAGATGCAATGATGGCATTTTGGTTATCTTTTTTTTCTAAAGTTGATTAGAGTGGATAGTCTGGTAGACTGTATGAATTGTTGAATAGCTTGCTAGGATTCATGTGTGAAGTCAAAAGATATTTGGAATATACTTTAAAATATTCCAGCAAAAAAGCAAATAAAACATAATTGGTGAGATGTTGATTATTGTTAAAGTTGGTTAGTGGGTATGGAATTTTTGATTTGTTGTTCTGCTTTGTTTGAAATTATTCATGATAAAGAGTAAATAAGAACAACCAAATCATAGTTTGAGTATATTATTGAGAAATATGAGTGAAAATACTCAAACTGAGAGTTACAGAGCTATAATTGCTTAGGTTTCCAGGCAGGATTGAAGAAGGTGATTTTTATTTCAAATATTATATATTAATAAACATTCAAGAGCTTATTTGAAGTATAAGTTATCAATTTTTAATGGCCCTTCATATCATAATGTAAATATGTGGAAAGAAATTCTCAAAGAAGCACACTATACTGTTAACAGAGTCACTTATGGTAATGGCATGGAGATTAGGGTTGGTGATCAAAGATGACATTCATTAATTCCAGCAAACATTTGCTGAGCATCTACTATGTGCCAGACGTGCTAATGCTGGAAGTAAAGTCATGAAAGAGACAAAATAAGAAGTTTCTACTCATATGGAGCTCACATTATAATAGTGGAGACTGAGAAAATAAGAGCATTAAGATGTGTACTTATCATGATAGTCACATGTGTTACAAAGCAAACTAAGCAAAGAAGGGGAATGGTGTTGGGTGGGTGTTGGATTGTTACCTTTGGGTATATTGTCCAGCTAAGGCCTTGCTGAGAAGCTGACACAGGAAGAAAGACCCGAGGGGGGTTGAGGGGAGAGCCCTGTGGAGATCTGGGAGTAGACATTGCATTGAGAGAGTACCCTGAGGTTCCTACTGATTTTTTCCTGGTAAAATTTTTAGTCACTGACAAATAGGAATGTGCCCCCAATTTTGATGCAAGAGTTATTTTTTTGGCAGGTATGAATTGGTCAGGATTAAGGCCAGAGTTACCCAAATGGTTCACACAGGGCATGGTTTAAGACTTTTGACACTAAACAAATTGAGGCCACAGCACACATAGTAATTTGTATGCTTCTATAAAATGGATCTTTTTGGATATGTGTATAAACAGGTCCTTGCAATAGCCTCTCACTTAAGTGGCTCAGTCCAGTTTTCTAAGTTGTATTTTGGTACTTGAAATTTTGTACAGTGCTGTACAAAATCCCAACTATTGCTTGAACCTAGTGCCAGGAAACTCAACTGTCACTAGAATCAATGAGCCACAAGTGGGAAAACGTTTCTCTATCTGTGGATGTGGGGCTAACAGGTTACCTATTTCATTAACTTCAGGGACAAGAACTTAAGTGAGCAGAAAAGGCTGATCAGTATATTTGATCACAAGCCTGGATCCCAGCACATTGCAGGATGAAGTCATTACATGGTCACAGTTGGTGACATCACAATGGGGTTTGCCCTATAAAGTCCAGACCATTTTCAAACTTAGGCTTCTTCCTCCAAAGGGTGTGAAGTGGCTGGAAGGGTGTTTTGTTGTTGCTCTTATTGTGTTTTACACTGTTAAAAAAGACTAGGTTTTTGTTTCCACACTAATTTCTTACTTAGGAAAGTTGCTTTGTATCTGTGTCAAAGGTATTCAACAATACTTTCTTTCCTTTTCAGGTCACAGATTTATAAGAGTGGTTTACAGCTAGTGCTGCCCTGCAGTGGTGTGGACCCAGACTTCATGCACAAAGATCAGGCTGTGATTTCACACATCTGATAAGTAAGTGATAAAATTCTCAATTGTGCTTTCATTACACTCTTCTGTACAATAGGCTCATTTTTCAAGTAGGAGTCTCACTGAAATTCTTCTCTTAATATCTGGTTAGGTACTGTGTCCATGTGTACTCAACAGCTCTAGTTGTTAATTAAGATGATCATGAGAGCTCTCCCTGTGGGACTAGAAATATCAACTTATCTGGTAATTTCCAACATTCCTGACCTCAGTTTAAACTGAAAGCCCCAGAAAAGGTCATTTTTAACTAGAGCTCAGTGACTTTTAGAAGCATGACTGATATGTTTTCATCCAGTTTGCACTGATACTATGGTGGTTTGGTAGAAATTGTGTGTTCTTTAGGCTTCAACCGGTTTCATAGCTATGTTCTGAGTGCTCAACAGTAGGCAAAGAGGAAGGGCTATTTCAGTAACCTGAGACCTTTGAAGGCTATCAGGGTAGCCTGATATTTTCATAAACCTTAGAGCTGGGAAAGAATTTGAGGTAATCCTGTTTGTCCTTTTCTATTAATATCATTCTCCACTGGAATCTCTGAAGGCAATTGTGAAATACTCATTGTGAAGTGAGTGCACTCAGCCATGTGGCCTTCTACTTAAGCAGTTTTACTTACACCTAATTGAAATCACTGTTGGGAAAGATTCAGCATGAACTCATTTCTTGTGCCTTTAAAGAAAGGAAAAAAACCCTACAGCTGTTAAAAGTCTATTATACATTATTCTTTTCTCCATAGCACAAGGCAGGCTCATAGTAACATTCAAAGGTGAATACCTTATTATTTATGATGTATTATTCTTTTGTGATTTTAATAATACACACTTATTGTAGGCAATTTAGAAAGTTATACAAGTTTGATGAGGGAGTCATAAGGCACTACTTTTACATCTTTGTATTGGCTTACAACCTCTTACAGATCACACAGTTGGCACACACACTCTCCCAGTGACTTGGGCTAGCTGGTTCAGGGTTTAGCAGACACCGGCTTCTTGTAGTGTGTGCCAAGTCCTTGTTATTATGTTCTGTTAACCAAAAGCATTGAGACAGGGAGAGAGAAGGGGACCAGGTGAGAGAGGGTAGTCAGCATCATAAACCCATTAGGATCTCATCAACTTGTCACCCTCATTTTGAACCAATCATTTGCTTCTTTAGCTTTTAATTTCCTCAACTAAAGTGAGGGTGAAATAAATGAATGGTTCTTAAGTTTTATGGTAAAGGGTCTTTTTGAGAAGCTGGTGAATTGTGTGGGATTTTTTAAAAAAATAAGCACATGCACACACAGACACAAATTCAGGAAATTCAAGGAAACTCTCTAGAGAGTACCCAGACTTAAGGAGCTCAATGTCTCTTCCAATTTCACACATATATGTGATTCTAGTGTCTTCCACCATTCAAATTATATGAGACCTCTGCCCCAAACTCTTCAACACATCCCCTTTAAATTAGAATTACAATAACTGCCAAGCACAACCAGCAGTCAACAAGATCTGGCTACTCTGTCCTGATCATTTACCACTTTTCTCTTTAGTTGCTTTGCTCCAGTCACACAGGTTTCGTTTTTTAAAGTTAAGCTTTATTAATAGACATATAGTTGACAGAAGATCAACATCTCTTGTTTAAAGTGTACCATTTGATCAACATTGCCATATGTGACACCTGTGAAAGAATCAGCACAATGAACAGAGAACAGCCACATTGGTCACACCCAAAAGTTTCAGATCTCTCTGTATACACAGTAATGAGAACTACATTGTTCCCCCAAGAGGATCCTTAGTTATATATATCATGCTGAACTAGGAGTAATTTATTATTTGGGCTATAACATATGTATTTAAAAATCATCCACCTAGAGTGTTTGAGTGTTCCTGAGAAATTACTTTACTATGTATTTGTACTTTTCACCCCAGATACAATTTACATAAGTAAAATATTTTACTAGGAAACAGGAATTAAGGAGTCTCATTGTATGTTCTCTTCTTGTGGCTTTTGGTTTTAAAGTCATTTTGAGTCTTAATCATTTTAAACATGGACTCTTTGGCAATTTCCACTCATAATAAATCATGAAAGAAATTTAAAGAATTATATAAACATAAAAGTTGAAAAATTTGTAATTTTTAATATGGTGAGAATGTGGTCAAATATATTAATATATGCTTGGTTATGTGCCTTGACAGGCATAGCATTGAATATAGTAAATTAACTAAGGCAAGTATATGTGGTAACTTGTTTTATGTGTGGTACAGGTTAACTTCTCTGTTAGCAATTGACACAAAAATTATAGTCTAAAATAGTAAATTATATGTTCTGTATATTTTACTACAATAAAAGAAATAATAATTTGCACAGTAGAACTTGAGGCTCAAGCCTCTTATGCCTGAAGGATCTGATGTGATAATTTCTAATCACTTTTGTTCAATCTTAATAATTTCTTGTGTGGACTTGGCAAAAGTTGAAAAAGTAAACAAATGAGGCAGTAGAAATTTCAAAAAAATAAGACTATTGATATAATTGTTTTAATAATTTAATCAAACCACACATTTTTCCTTCCTCTTTTGCAAGACCTTTTAAATATTGTTTCACCTATACAGTACTTTATATTTTAGTATGTGAAGCATAACCACCAAATATTGATTTGTTTGTCCTGATAAAATAAGCTTACTATAACTGTTTCTTCTTTAATCATCTTTAATACATATGGAAGAAAAGGTCTTGCTTTATTATACTAAAATGGTGAATGACATGAAATAAAATTAGATTGTTTGATGGTATGAGTTAGAAGCAATCAACCTAAATATTGTAGTTTTGGTCTGCATTTCTCTGATGACTAATCATGTTGAGCATTTTTTCATACAACTGTGGCCATTTGTATGTCTTCTTCTGAGAATGTCTATTCAGATCTTTTGCCCATTTAAAAATTGGATTATTTGATTTTTTCCTATTGGGTTTTGGAGCTCCTAATATATTCTAGTTATTAATCCCTTGTCAGATTGGGCAGTTTGTAGATATTTTCTCCCATTCTGTGGGTTGTCTTTTCACTTTGTCAGTTCTTTGTGCTGCTGTGTAGAAGCTTTTTAGCTTGATGTGATCCTATTTGTTCAATTTTGCTTTGGTTGCCTGTGTCATGGGAATATACTCAAAAAGTTGTTGCCAAGACCTTTGTCATGGAATGCTTCCTCAATGTTTTCTTTTAGTAGTTTCATAGGTTTAGGTCTTAGATTTAAGTCTTTAGTCCATTTTGATTTGATTTTTTTAATAGGGGGAGATTTTTTTAATAGGGTGTAGTTTCATTCTTCTGCATATGGATATCCAGTTTTACCAGCACTATGTATTGAAGTGACTGTCCTTTCCCCACTGTTTATTCTTGGCATCTTTGTCAAAGATAAGTTCGCTATAGATGTGTGGATTTATTTCTGGATTCTCTATTTTATTCCACTGGTCTATGTGTCTGTTTTCATGCCAGTACCATGCTGTCTTGGTTACTACAACTCTGTAGTATAACTTGAAGTCAGGTAATATGATTTCTTCAGTTTTGTTCCTTTTGCTCAGGATAGCTTTGACTTTGACTATTGGGTCTTTTGTGGTTTGGTATAAATTTTAGGATTGTTATTTTTTTCATTTCTGTGAGGAATGTCATTGGTATTTTCATAGAGATTGCACTGAATCTATAGATCACTCTGGGTAGTCTAGACATTTTAACAATATCGATTCTTCCAATCCATAAGCATAGAATATTTTTTTCTTCAATTTTTTTCATCAAGTTTTGTTTGCTTTGAGACAAATTCTAACTCTGTTGCCTAGGCTTAAGTGCAGTGGCATTATCATAGCTCACTGAAACCTCAAACTCCTCAGTCCAAGCAATTCTCTTGCCTCAGCCTCCCAAGTAGCTGAGGCTACAGATGCTCGGCATCACATCCAGCTAATTTTTTTGTTTTTTGTTTTAAGGCATGGGGTCTTGCTATTGCCCAGGCTGGTCTCACACTACTGGCCTAAAGCAGTTCTCCTACTTTGGCCTCCCAAAGTACTAGGATCACAGGCATTAAGTGAATGTCTCATGAATATTTTATAGTTTTAATCATGGAGATCTTTCACTTCTTTGGTTATATTTTTCCCCTAGGTATTTTATTTGTAGCTACTGTAAATGTGATTACTTTTTTGGTTTCTTTTTTTTAGATTGCTTGCTGTTGGCATACAGAAATGCTACTGGTTTTTGTATGTTGGTTTTGTATCCTGCAACTTACTGAATTTATCAGTTTTATAGTGTTTTGGTTGGAGTCTTTGGGTTTCTCTAAGATCATATCATCAGCAAACATGGATACTTTGACTTCTCCTCTTCCAATTTTGATGCCCTTTATTTTTTGAATTGTCTGATTGCTCTACTAGAACTTCCAGCACTATGTTGAATAACCATGATGAAAGTGGGTATCCTTCTCCTGTTCTAGATATTAAAGGCTTTCAGTTTTTTCCCATTTAGTATAATACTAGCTGTGGTTCTATCATATATGACTTTTGTCATGTTGAGATATGTTCCTTTTATACCCAGTTTTTTGAGAGTTTTTATCATGAAGGGATGTTGAACTTTATCAAATGCTTTTCCAGTGTCAACTGAAATGATCATATAGTTTTTGTCTTTCATTCTTTTGATATTCACTCTGTATCACATTGATTGATTTGTGTATGTTGCTCCATCCTTGCATCCCTGGGATGAATCCCGCTTGATTGTGATGGGTAATCTTTTTAATGTGTTGCTAAATTGAGTTTGCTAGTATTTTGTTCAGGATTTTTGCATCTATGTTCATCAGAGATATAGACCTATAGTTCTTTTTTCCTAGTGCATTTTTTGGTTTGTTTTGGTATCAGGGTGATATTGGCCACATAGAATGAGATTGGGAGTATTCCCCCTTCTTAATTTATTGGAATAGTTTAAATATGATTGGCAATATTTCTTCTTTAAATGTTTGGTAGAATTCAGCAGTGAAGCTATGGGGTCCTAGGCT